GAGGTATAATAATATAACATTTATTATTATTAAACTATTACTGATGGTAATTATTCATATTTATTTTATTTATTATCTGTTCTGTTTTGTTACAGGAAGAATAATGCATAAAAATGACAATGAGTTTGGGATTCTTTTTATCATACTCGTTTTCTATCTAGTTGAATCTATTTGTTGATATAGGTATTATACACTTTGGTTGGAAAATAAAAGGACAGCAGTTTGTTTGTTCTAACCTTGTTTTTTTGTTCTATTAGTTTACTATTTAAGGTAGGGTGAAGTTGAAAGGAATGAAATCTTATGTTTGCATGGACAATAGTCAAGGTTTAAGGATGTTGTGCGTAATTGTATATTTATGGCTGGTAGGCTGTGATAAGGGCTACAATTATTTGTTTGAAGATAGTGAAATGTTACTCTGCTAGCAGGATCATTTTCACACTCAAGAAGGCAGTATTAAAGATCCGACGAAGGAAGGTATCATAGACTCAGATGGTGAGTCCTTGCGAGGGGAAAAGAACATACAAGTGCAACCAAAAGGCCCTTATGGCCTAGGATAAGCTTCAATTAACCGTTGATCAAGGTTTAGCTACTTTTTTTGCACCTGTATAAGATTAGGTGTCAATTATAAATGAATCTTATTTGCAATCTCATGGATTTGAAATGAAGAAACAAATGTTTCACATTTGTTTTTTTATTTAATTTGGTTGTACAAAACCCACAAAGGAGAAATAAAATGGATTGGAATTTGAATGACTTTACTGTAAGATTACAACATGATTACAACTATTATCTAGAAACAGAACATAGTACTCTACTATCATGGGCTCTGAACGTGTGACCGGTAAGGGGAAAGCCGCATTGCCACCAACAGCGACGGACTGCCTCTTAACTAGTTAGGTAATGGGAAGCGATTCTAATGGATGAGAGAGGTTTTGCTCTATCTTGACTGAGTTTCATTTACATGGCCACTTTCTAATCTTTCTTTTTATTTTTTTCCTCTATCCCTGTCTTTGGAATGCGAAACATGTTTGAAATAGTGAGGTGTGGCCCGTGGGGACATGAGCGTGTATGTTACCAAAAAGTGAACGCATTCACAAGGTAGTAGCATCAACGCTGCAGCGCCACACTCCCAGCGCTGCAGCGCTGTCCCCTTCACCAAGCAGTAGCATCAACACTGTAGTGTCACACTACCAGCGCTGCAGTGTTGTCCCCTTCACCAAGGAGTAGCATCAATGCTGCAACGCCACACTACCAGCGCTGCAGCACTGTCCCCCTACACCAAGCAGCACTCCCAGTGCTGCAGCGCCACACTCCCAGTGCTGCAGCGCTGCCCCCTTCACCAAGTAGTAGCATCAACGCTGCAGCGCCACACTACTAGCGTTGCAGCACTGTCCCCTTACACCAAGCAGCACTCCCAGCGCTGTCCCCCATTTGAGCTGCATGTGAAAGCTATTTTATCCCATGAACCAGCCAAGATCAGGATATAGGGATACATTCATTTAATCTTGTGCTTGAATACCTGTATAGGCTTGGGTGGTGGGCAATTCTAAGCATAGTTTCCACTGGCCCAAATTATAAAAATATTAATATTTGATGCATCCTCTTGTATAAATTCTATACATTATAACGAATTAAGCTTAGTATATAACTGAATCGCTCTAATTTGATCAAATTGAATATAAATATAAGAATACAAATGTGTACAAATTTTGATAGATGAAGAAATTTTAATTATGATGAATTGTTATCATTAGAATAGAATATTTTAAATAATAATTCTTTATAAAATAAATTATTAATTACATAGTTAAATTGTGTATATTACATAAGTGAACGAGGTATATGTATTTATAAACTTAATCCTATTAATGATCTGACTGTAACTAATTGATAGTATTATTGTATTGTATTATAACTCTAATTAAATAATTAGTATATATATATTGACAAATTTGATTTCAATATCATTCAAATATCAAAAGGTTTGGCAAAGTAAGATTTTCTTTCTTTTTGTCTCTTGAATATATGCTTTGATTTTTTTTGTCTGTGTAAATCATAATCATGTCATCTGATAAGAAGCTGTTTAGATCCTTTGTGTTCTATTTTGCTCTTTGGTATCGATTTTATGTTATTGTTTGCTTGCTTGGTGACGAAATTGCTTCAATACCTAATGGAAGAACAGGCTTTGTCTTTGATCAAAGCAACTAGTACTTAACTCATAGAAAAGTTTGATCAACTAGTACTTAACTTTTCTATGAGTTAACTTTTCTATACTTAACTCATAGAAAAGTTTGATCAACTAGTACTTAACTCATAAAAAAGTTTGATGTGAATGATGTTGGGCAATAACAAGTGGTAGTTGATGGTTATTTAATAGCCATGAATTGTAGCGCTG